CCGCTTCCCTACAGTGCCAACAGTGTGCAACACTAGCTAGCTAGTCTTATGGTCAACGGTCAAAATACAACTGTATTTTTTTTTTATAAAAATCACCTCTTAAATTATATTGAGACTTTTTTAATGAATAAAGCTGCCTAATGTAAACACAGAGACAGAACCAGAGAAAAAATATTCGTCAAAAACAAAAAGTAGGAGATAAAAAGCTCAGTAGTTGGTGATAATTCTCTACTGCTTCATCCCCATCAGCGACACTTTTCACATACATATTTTTTTTCCTGTTTCTAATATGTATTACAGCAGATTTAAATAGTGTTTGTTTACTTATATGAACACTGCTGCCTCCAGGGGGCGCTTTATTTTTTGAGTTGATTATCTTGAACTCTGATATTTGTCTTCAGTTTGTAACCGACCCTGATAGTACGTTAGTACGGTAATTTGTAGATACAGGTTATTAGTGTAGATCAGTAAGTACTAATAAACTGACAGATGCATGTTAAAGTATTAATAATGAGAGAGATGTAGTTAATTAGTAATTACTAAATGATAGATGTGGTGTTCATGTAGATAATTAGTAAAGAACAGGAAGCAGTGCTGCAGGTTCACTAACTGTTACTGAGGTGATGGATGTTGTTCTGTTGGTTGTAAGTAAGCTAATAAACAGACGGAGGTAATTAGAGAGGAGGCAGCAGAAAGTGAAGCAGGTCGTTAATTAACTAAACCAACAGAGTGAAGACAGAGAACGGAGAGGAGGATTGAACGGAGAAACAAAGAAGAGAAAAACTGCCTTTGTAATGTTTTTCTTCACTGAAACATGTGAACCATTTTTCCCTTGGATCCAGACCTCCTTATGGCTCTGTCATTGGTCAGTGAGTCAAACAGGACGTGGATAACCGAGTTATTCAGATTACAATATTGACCAGACACCTTCTCTCTATAGACGTTGGTGGATTGTTGTTGTTTCAGACCCAGTCATCATTGATTTTAAACAGTTTGAAGCAGCTGATGTTCTGGTGTTTGTGCTGTGCTGCAGGGCTCTGGGCTGCCTCCTCTACGAGATGTGCTCCCTGACTCACGCCTTCCAGGGTCCAAACTTCCTGTCTGTGGTGATGAAGATCGTGGAGGGAGAAACCCCGACGCTGCCCTCTGGATACTCTCAGGAGCTGAACTCTGTCATGCAGAGGTGAGGAGGAGACAACACCGACTCCACTGTGAAGTCACTGAGGGTTTGTCTTCTCTTAGTCAGACAACTCACAAGGAAGTGATTCATTAATATGCAAATAAGAAAGAAAATATCAGCAAATCCTGAGTTGAACACAGAGGAGAAAAGGCAGCGATCATTATAAACTTCTCCTGGGAGGAAGTCGAGTGAACAGAAGCTGAATCAAGTGTCTAGTGTCAGATTCTTTACTTAAACGCACTACAGTTAGTTTTTAACTAGTTATAAACAGTCATAGTTTAATACTGATGCCTCTATTGGAGAGAAGATTGGATATTTCTATATTTTTCTCAATGCCTGCTACTGGGTCAGATTCCTCTTGAAATCAATGAAATGAGGCTGTGAACTGGGTTTTTATATTTCTCATTAAGCAAACCTGATGCAACATGTTATTTAGGTGGCTTTAAAAGTTTGTGGGCATACTTTTGAAGTGTAGAGAGAGCTAGTTTCCCCATATCTGTGAACATCTGAACATCTCACTCAGAGAGAAAGACAATACAAAGTTGGAACTGTTCCCGATCACTGATCTGTGGTGTTTCGTCTCTCTTTGAAACAGGATGCTACAGAAACAGCCGTCATCCAGGCCGTCTGCCGCAGAGCTACTCAAGACCAAGTTCATGGAGGACAACATGAAGGTTGGACACTTTAAACACATAAATACTGTTTGTACACTGAGCATCTCTTTGGCTTTTGCTCCGGACCCGAACCAATGCCGGCCCCGGCTGCTTGGTGTTTATAGTTTTTCCAACCCAGTTTAAATAAAATACAACATGTCGGCTACACTAAGTTGGAAACTAGTGATGATAGTCTGAGTTGAAAGACAGTTTGCTTAGAGGCTTTATTATGTCTGGTTGTGTCTGTGTTCTTCTTGCATTTGGTTTGTACCATCAACATATAAAAGATGGCCTCTCCCACTGTACAGACATGAAGCCAGAATATCCAGATACTCCCGCTGCCATCTTTCTAATTCGTTGCTCTCTTCCATTTTAGGTCATTCTTATCACGCTGATGTTTGTTCAAGTGTTAATTTTTGTCATCATCAGTTTGGATTTAATTTAGTTGAAAACATAAAAAGGGGGTTTCACGTCATTATTGAAAGCTGAGTCCTGCTCGCAATGGAATCACCCGGACGTATGGATCTCGATACTGACCCTGATCATTACTGCACAGACTCTGGTCCTGAAGTGGGACGAAGTGGAGATGTATATGTCGATGGGTGGCACTGATAGATAGATAGATAGATAGATAGTAGATAGCGATAGATCACGATAGATAGATAATAGACAGATAGATAGAATAGATAGGATAGATGTTGGTGGCAGCGTTTGTGAATTTCAGTGAGTCAATGGCTCAGTATTGGAAACCCAATAAAGCCAGGAATACCTTGTTCATTTCAGCAGCACAGTGTGAAGCAGACCATTCAGCAGTTACTGGTCCAGGTCCGGAGGTTAGTCAGGGTCCATCCTGCTGAAGAACAAGCTGGTGAAGTGCTCTGTGTGTGTTTAGTAACAGCCCAACCGCCCCGTGGACACCCAGAAAGCAGCAGCACCAACAAATTATCACACAAACATTGATTTATTCCTTTTAAATCAGAAATGTGTGTATGTCTAATCAATGGCAGGTAAAAAATGTACTTGTGGATGCTTGGAGGCTGACCCATCACACAAATACAAACACATACGCATACACACAGCCTATTACCCACTAAACCAAGGTATAAAATTACTCACATTCATTCATTTTCTCTCATTCTCACTCTCATAGTAACAGATAAGGTGTGTGTGTGTGTGTGTCAGCAGGATATTATTGTCATACAGTTTGCCATAAATCACAGCTGCAGGCTG